GCGGGGCCGGCTCCCAGGCCGCATGTGGGAGAGGGTCTCTGTTTTCTCGTTAATGGCGGTAAATGTGTAACATGAAGTTTACCATCTTTGACCACGTTTACGAGAACAGTTCAGTGGCAGGCGGTCCGTTCACACGGCACAGCCATCACCTCGAGGACTTCGCACCCTCCCGGACAGACACTCTGGGCCGTGGCACAGCCCCCGCCCCGCCCCGGGCCCTGCACCCGCCGCCTGCTTTCTCTCTGTGGATGTGCCTGTCCAGGGCTCACAGGTGTGGCCTCACCCAGGGTTTTCCTCTGTGTCTGGCTCGTGTTGCTCGTTAATATCTCAGGTTCCTCCGTGCTGTCGCAGTGCCGGCACCGCCTTCCTGTTAGGGGTGAGTCATGTCCCGCGCCGTGGCCGGACCACGTGCTATCCCTCCGCCATCAGTGGACACTCGGGCTCGTCCACCTTTTGGCCCCCGTGACTCGTGCTGCTGTGCACGTGGGTGTGTGATTTCAACCATCTTGCGTCAGGGCTTTGCTGCAGTTAGAAACCAGTGTCCACGCCGTCTTCCTTGTGAGGGGCGGAGGGCGCGTGGTCCCCAAAGCTGGGTCTGCGGCCGAGTGCCCCGAGCCACTGCGCGGCCCGGGCTTGGTCCTGCTGCTCCCCGTCTCCCCCATCCTCCCGGGCCCTGGCGTTTGAGAAACGGCCCCCTGGAGGTGAGTGGGACTTGCTGGCCGGTGCCACCGGCCCGGGGAATTGGCAGGGCCCGCCCCGGCCTCTCTCTCACCGGTCACTCCAGGTGCCCCGCGGGGAGGTGCGAAAGGTGGAGGCGACTGTATAGAAAGAGGAAGTAGGTTTTACCTCCAAGCACGTTCGTCAGAGAGGGGGCCTGGCCCCTGGCACTGGCCACCCGATGGAGAGGGCGGTGTTGTGGCCGTGATCCAGGCTGTGGCCGCGCGGTTCCCCCCAGGGCCCACCCCACACCAGTGCATCTGATCTCGGGGCTGAGCTGGAACCGGCCAGCGCTGGGTCTGGGAGTCACAGGCACGGCCGGTGGAGGACACGGTGTGAAGGCGAGGCCGATAGTGCGGCTGCGCTCCCTGGCGTCTCTCCAGTGCGGGAGCGAGGGATCCTTTCTGCCGCCGTGGGATCCATGCTGTACCCCTCACCATCCCCAGATCCTGCGGACCCTGCACCCCAATACACACAACCTGTGCTCTCTGGACAGGAGGTCAAGGCCGACCCCTGGCAGCACCTGTCATCACACCGTCAGGGTCTGTCCCTACGAACGTGGCCTCGACCATGGACCTGCTTTAGATTCTGCACTCGCTCCCCCCGGTCCCCGTTCGCGTGCCGGGAGGGGCCTGCACACCTCGGCCCCGAGGCCATGACACGCTTGTTCGTCAGCAGCCTCGGGCGATCGGGGAGCCTCCAGAAGCTTCCGTGACTTAGTCATGGATTCCACGGAGCAGGGGCAGTGGACCGGCGGGCCCAGCGGGGCGGGGGGAGTATTTGGCGGGGGAAGAGCTGCTGAACATATTCTTGCTTCGGATCATTTTTCCTAGACTTTTTCTGGGCGACAAGCCATTTAGGAATGTTTGTTACGTGCCTAAGAGCAGGAGTTGCTTTCGCTTTGTTCCCCTGCCAGCGCGGGGAGCCACGGTGCTCCGTGTTCACTGACGGTTTCTCCTTCCTTCTGCCCGCAGTGACTGACCTGCAGGAGGAAGGCAAGAACGCCATCAACTCGCCGATGTCGCCGGCCTTGGCGGACCTGCACCCCGAGGACACCCTGCTAGGTACCGTGGGCTCGCCGACCCCCGCTGTGCGCTGACCCCTGCCGA